TATGAACGAACTTGAGATACGGAAATTAGTGAATGGATAACAAAGAGAGCCTACATAATAGCCACGGCACTGGTCGCACTTTCTTCAAGTAGGTTGCGTTCAGAAAGGCACTCGACGTTGGGGGACGCTTTGTTGGTATTTTGAGAGGTCATCCCGCTTGTAGTTCGTTTGCTGTCCTGTTCTCTGCTTATCGATGTTCGCTTACAGACAGTGTTCGCGAGAGCAAAGTGCAGGACTGACGACAAAAAGAAAAGAAAATAAAACGCACACAAAAACCTTATGTTTTGCCGTAGCGGAGTCAGTTATATAACAAGCAAAAAAAAAAGTGTTCTTTTTGTGCTTATTTTTTATATTCTATTTCTTATTCTCTTAACACTGAAGTCTGCATTGTTGTCGTGGGTCGTTTCCCATTCTGTGTTCGCCTCAGTGTAGCTATTTTTACTTTCGTAAAATAACCCCTTCTGTTTCAGGATTTTTTTAACACTTGGACATCCCCAGGATGTCCTCAAGACAACCTTTTGAGGGCATTATGATGTCCTCAGGATGTCCTCAAATGATCCTGGAAACATCCTAAAAACGTCCTATTGTCCGGCCTCAGGACATCCCAAGAACGTCCTCAGGAGGGCAGCCAAGGTTTTTTCTAGTACTTTGTTAGGACTGCACTGCAGCTGTTCACTGAGCTGTTAGGATGCTTTCATTTTTACGGTTTTTAGGTTTTCTCCAACTGGATTTTGAGCCTGAAGATGCCTGCAAGAGCTGCCTGCAGAAAAGAAAATGCATTGTTGTGCACTATTTTAAAGTGAAATTCACACACTAATTCTAGATTACTAGTCAGTGAAAGGCTAAGAACATATGGCAAGGCAAAGGAGGAAGAAAGCTGGCGGAATGCTGAAGAGGAGAGAAGAAAGCTCTCCCCTCCAGCATCCTGTCGGCTTTCTCCTCTGCGTATTTCCTTGCGCTGTGTTTTTAGCCTGTAACTATGAGCACGATCGTGCCATTCATTATTGCAAGAAATACTTTATTGGAGAGCAAATGTTATACATGACTTTTTTCAATGTCTGCACCAGACGAGCAGTCTGGCTTCGCATCTTGGCCAGCACTAGTCGAATAGTCAGCGGGATCTACAAAAAAAATCAATCAATCAATCAATTAATAATAAAAACAGGTAATGTGAGAAACTTACCATTATGTCGAACACCTCCGGCCTTTGATTGCAGCTTTTTCAGTTTCTCTCCAGCGTGGCGCAGCCATACCTTGATGATGGTCTCCACGTCAGCTTTGTTTGCGCACTCAACATTTGATTTCACTGCTCCTAAAACATTGATTTGTGATGACAGTCACAGCAGAAAGCTAAGATGGTCTAGAAAGAAATCACAATTAATGTTCGTGCGAGGAAGATACCCTTGCTACCGAGTCTACTTTCGCACAGTTGGAAAGCTCGAAGCACTCGTTTACGCGCCGGCATCTTTCCCGCCAAAATTGCCGTTCATTGCTTTCCGCCATTTAGAAGAATTCATTTAAAAACACACTAACCTTTGTCACTGCCTTGCATTGCTGCCATCATCAATTTGGATGGAACAGCACGGATATACAGACTCGCAGCGCTGACTAACAACTCAGTGATATATTTCTTCTTCCTGTTAAAACGGATCGTTATCATCTTCTCCTTCGCCGTTAATGAGAACATTTTAAATTTTTAAACACAAGAAACCAAATAGCCAATAAACATTAATAAGTAAATATTAAATAAATAAATGGCAGCTAAAAATAAATAAAAATAAGAAAATTAAAAAAATGAAAATAAAGTTAAAAATATTTTTAAGAAATAAATTACAATTAAAAAATTAAGCTTAAAATTATTTCTTTTAATTTTTAAGTTCTATTTCTTTTTAGTTGGCATTTTATTTATTTATTAATGTTTATTGGCTATTTGGCTTCTGGTGTTTAAAAATTTAAAATGTTCTCATTAACGGCGAAGGAGGAGACGATGACGATATGAGGAAGTTGTTAATCAGCGCTGCGAGTCTGTTTCCTTCTTTTGTGCCTGTGAGTGTGACTATATCCGCGCTGTTCCATCCAAGCACGAATTACCAAATAGCCCAAGCATCCACATCATCAAGCCATCATCAACCTCGACGCTATTTCTGTTTCTGTCCTGGCTTGGCTTAGCTTGCTTGAGTCTCTCGGATGGGTGGATAATTGCCTTAACGGTACACCTTCTAGTAGGCGGTAGCTTGCGCCACCTAGACTGAATGTTGCCAATGGGACCGAATTTCGAAATATTGCGCAAGTACAAAACTAATAATAATTGTAGTGCGTCCTGGTTTTATTAAAGAATTGTTTGATGAAAACTAAAGTTAAAAGGTGTCCTAAACTTACGCAACTACATGTAATAATTTGTATGCGAAATTTAGTTGAGCAGTGAACGTGAACAGTGCATACTACCGCCATTTCATTCATTTACTTTTTTTAAAAACGTAATCAAATTGAGGACGTATATATTACCTTTAACTTTGTATCCTTCGTCCTCAATAAGTCCTCGGAAGGACGTTTCTAGGATGATCCAGCAACTGACGTTCTCAGGATGTCCTGAGGACGTCTTGAAAACCGTGAGGAAGTTTGTACTTTTCGAGAACGTCCAGAGGATGTCGGGTGTTGTCTGGGTTTGGGAAGGCGATGGAAAACCTTTATTCTACAAACTTTGGGTGAAATATGAGTCACAATCGGTACAAAAGAGATGTTTTCACAAGCTCATTCTATCACCGTAGCTTATCGGAGCTAGCAACAGGATTTGATTGCTCAAAACAAAATACAAGTTTGCTCGTGCCACGCCCACCCCAGTTCATACTGAAAAACTGTAAAAATAGCGGAAGGTCAAAAATGTATTTGAGATCATGAGCATAAGGAGTACAATAGGCTTAGAAATGTAATTAAAGTACACTATAAAGGCCCGTTCACACTCTTGCGACCTCTTAAACCTGGGTTCCTTAAAACTTCTTAAACCAGAGAATACACTGGCGCCATCTATTGGGAACCAGTGTAAACTCGGCGGTCCGGCATATTTTTTTTAATTTCTCGCGCATTGTCCTTATTTTTTTGGCTCAAAAAACTTTTGTCAATGTTATAAACGAGCCTTTCTATGGGTATTACGCACATTTGACCTCGGAAATCCCGCAAAACCTTCGCTTTTGTGAAATGCAGTTCTAGGGTCACCGCATAGATGGCGCCACAATGTCAGTGTGTTCCCTCATTCTAGAAACATTTAAGAAGTTGTAAGAGATCTCGTCTCTCTCAGTCGTACTCGGTCGCAAGAGTGTGAACGGGCCTTAATACAGTACCAAATACCCTCGATCAAAAGTATTAGCAAGATACCAAGATACTTCCAAGAGTATTTGAAATACAGTATTTTGAGTGGAGCATTTGAGATAGGCACAGGCCTGGTCCAGGGTTGGGCAGAAATACCCAAAAATGTATTTGGAAATACAAATACAGGAATACATTTTATGGAGGGCAGAAATACAAATACAGAAATACTGATACTGCAATACATTTTTCAAATTCGTTTGAGACGCCAAATGAGATGAAGCTTGAAGTTAGAGGTGGAAGTTTTTGATTCTGAAATTACTTTCTTGTAGGCTTGGCACTTTGTCTTGAAGGTAGTGATTTCGGACGACGAATAGTCTTCAGTGGGCTCAAAAAAACGTTCCATCAAAGACTGACCGCGGTCCCTTTCCTGACATCCTGTCTGTCTGACGAGGGATGCGAAAAGACTTCGACCTCTATATAAATTCTATGCCATCCTAACTTCCATCAAAATGTCACCATGCCCCTGTCCAATAAGGACGCCCATGTCAACATTTATCACATGACGTCACGGTGGAATGAACTGGTATTCTTTGTCTGTAGGTGTGGCCTTGAACATGAAACTTTACCGCATTGTTGTATCAAACGACAATACGCGCTTTCGTTGTAGGTTACCTCGTTGAAGATCATGCAGGCAGTGTCATTTGTCATTCGGGCTGCAATGGACTGTGAATCAGTTTTGCCGGCTGGGTGTACTGTGTACGCCAAGGCAAAAGAGACGGTTAGCAGCGGGCTTTGAATGCCAGTAAACAATGACTCAAGAAACCCCTACCTAAGGACCTGCGGCACAAGATGCTCTGCCTCCACTCCTGGCACGCCACGTGGTTCGAGTCCCCGACTACGCAACACTTCTCAGAAGAGAGAAGAGGACGCATAGAAAAATAGTTTGGAGAATCGAAAGGAACCTTCGTCAGCATGGCAACAATGCCCCAGCATCTCCTTGACCCTAATGTCCTCAGAAGTAAAAAAAAAAAAAAAAAAAAAAAAATATATATATATATATATATATACAACACGGGCACTTCACGTCATCGTACGTGGTCTCCGAGGGGGATATAAACGAATATGTGCAGATGAATGAACCGTACTTAATCCAATGAATTAAAGAATCCAAGTTTTCAGGAACCCGCCGGGTTCCTGAAAACTTGGATTCTTTAATTCATTGGATTAAGTACGGTTCATTCATCTGCACATATTCGTTTATATATATATATATATATATATATATATATTTGGATTTGCATTTTTCTTTTTTAGGGGGGGGGGGGGGTGTATTTCTCAAGAAATGTAACGAAATACATTTCACCCTGATTGTATCGCGATACAAAGAAACATTCAAAATGTATTTCGATACAGGAATACTGATACTGGTGAAAAAAAGGTATCGCGATACAGAAATACTGATACAAAATCTATTTCTGAAATACTATCGCGATACATTTGTATCGCGATAATGCCCAACCCTGGTCTGGTCTATTATCATAGAGATCAGTGGTACCACGCGAAAAAAAAAAAAAGACGAAGAGAACCTGACCAGGGTTCCTCGATGCTCGACGACGGTCCAGACACGCCGTGAGGAAGCGTCGTACACCAAAACAACACTGCGGCGCCGGAGGTCGTCACCATGACTTGTAGCAATGGGTCGGTGCAAGTCGCCCAGGGCCACAGCTGACCACGCTCGGAGGATCATCGCATCCCTTCCGCTGGGTGCCCACCGTCGTCTGCTGGTGGCAGTGGCCGCGTCGGTCATCGCCATGGCCGACGCGGCACAGGGGCCGAGGAAGAATGCCGTGGAGATGGACGGCAGTTATCGGGCTTGTGAGTTGACCTACATGCTTATTAGCCTGTACTTCAATTGCGCTCACGTCCCATTTGCGGTCATTGTGAAAGACCTTGCAACCGCGTGCGTAAAGTCCAGCATATAATCTGCAGCGCTGAATTTGGTTTTCTCGTCAGAAGAAGGAATGGCCACTGGTACGGTACGATGAGGTCACAGAAAGAGGACATGCACATTTCTATGGTGCCTGGAGCGCCCCTCGGACTGGTGTGTTTAGCGTCCTGCCCCGTATGCAGTCGGCATCAAAAGGAGATGGCTCGTCGTAAAGCCCGTAGGAGCGGCAAAGATCCCTCATGTGGCGTCGCTGTCGTGATAAGCCGCTGAGAGCGAGGCTACTGCCGCGATTTCATGCATAGAGGCGGATGTTAGAAACGATAAAACACGCATTTGCGTGAACTTGACACACGTCTCGTTGCGTGGGCGACTGCTGGGGTGCTATGTTGCGCTTTTTGCACTCCCAGGGGGACTATGTTGCGCTTTTTGGACTCCCAGGAGACTAGGGAGAGGGAAGTGACGTCAACGACACAGCAAACGCAGATTGGATGTTGATTTTGTTTTCTTCCGTCAACATCCAATCTGCGTTTGCTCTAGTCGTTGACGTCACTTCCCTCTTCCAAGTCTCCTGGGAGTCCAAAAAGCGCAACATAGCACCCCAGGAGACTTGGAAGAGGGAAGTGACGTCAACGACACAGCAAATGCAGATTGGATGTTGACAGAAGAAAACGAAATCAACACCCAATCTGCGTTTGCTGTGTCGTTGACGTCACTTCCCTCTCCCCAGTCTCCTGGGAGTGCAAAAAGCGCAACATAGCCCCCCTGGGTTTGATGCACCATCACGCCATTCATGTTTTTTTTTTTTTTTTTTATTGTTTACGGTTAGTTGTTTTTGGCTAGATGCGCGGTTTCCCATTACGACCAACGACTCCCGTGCATAAAATTGCACCAGTCAGTTCCAGCGCCTCACTGTCAACGGCCTATGGAGCCCTTCCGAAAGTCACGTGCCGATCGATGAAAAATTCGATCCAATGATGGAACAACCGACACCGCTGAACGTGCATGTAGCGCGAGCAGGTAGCTTCGACTTGTGCTCCCTCTGCACGAGGGCTCGTGAGCTAGAACGCGTTGAAACCCAAGAAGCTCGCACTTATGTCCGCGACTGTGCAGGGATTCAACAGCTTCCAATACAGGGCACACTTTCAATAGGGACCTTACGTGACAGGGGCTCCTCATGCGGGAGTTTTTACAACACTGGCCGTCGTTCTGTCGGGCCTGCTCATCTTGATGCAGTGTACATCAAAAGTGGTCCTGAAGTAGCAACAGATGACGTCACAGAAGCCGGTGTGTGCTGCTGCCAGATGTCGCGATCCCGGCGGTAGGTCATAGAAATGCTGGCGAAAAGCACGAGCGAACCCGAGTGTCGCTGTCGTCGAGGCGTCACAATATAGAGCTACGTCCCAACTTGAGGTTTCCGAACTTCCGTGGACTGCCACACTGGCGAGCGACCTGCAGCAGAACATGCGTCTGCCACATTTACTACCGCTGCTGGTACTCTGCCAGGATCGCGACCGGTGACAGCATGACACTCTTATGACGTCATCAAGCGCAAATCGAGGGACCACTTTTTTTGAACGGGGTAAACACACCAGTTAGAGAAGACAAGTGCCAGGCACCATAAGCACCGAATAATCTATGTTTGCGTAGAAATGACACTTCTACCATCGGATGGATGGACGGGTAATAAGTTAATAGTGGCTGTGCTCTTTATAACGGGCGGTAGCTTACGCCACCTAGCCTACCGGCTTAAAACCATTGTGGCCAGTTATCCAAAGCCTTATCTGTTACCGCAAGAAAGCTGTTTTCCGTTCTCCAGAAGACCCTAAAGGCCCGTTCACACTCTTGCGACCGAGTACGACTGAGAGAGACGAGATCTCTTACAACTTCTTAAATGTTTCTAGAATGAGGGGACACACTGACATTGTGGCGCCATCTATGCGGTGACCCTAGAACTGCATTTCACAAAAGCGAAGGTTTTGCGGGATTTCCGAGGTCAAATGTGCGTAATACCCATAGAAAGGCTCGTTTATAACATTGACAAACGTTTTTCGAGCCAAAAAAATAAGGATAATGCGCGAGAAATTAAAAAAAAATATGCCGGACCGCCGAGTTTACACTGGTTCCCAATAGATGGCGCCAGTGTATTCTCTGGTTTAAGAAGTTTTAAGGAACCCAGGTTTAAGAGGTCGCAAGAGTGTGAACGGGCCTTAAAGCAGTTCGCGACAGAGCAAAACAATATCGACTGAACTTCCTTACAATATCTAAAGCACAGGAAGTCACGTTTTTGAACGGTTCTTTTTGGAGTAAGCCTCAGTGCACGTGTACACCCTTTCTCTAGACTTCGCTTCCCGGTGTTGCCATTTTGCATCTACCTTCGCGCGTATTTAGTCTTTTTAGAGCGCAGCTCTAGGGCGCCCGTTTCCGGCTTGAGTGGCGTCGCCGTCGCCGTCGGCGTAACCGTGCGTTGCGTTATGGGATGTTTCCAATAATGACGCCACACGTGACGTTACGTGTGACGCCACACGTGACGTTACGTGTGACGTCACTAAGGTCACGAGTGACGTCACGAAGGTCAATCATGAAGGTCACGAGGGAGGGGGAGGGAGGAAGGGGGAAGAGGAGGGGCATTCTTTCCTCTCCGTACCCTCCCCTCCTCCTCCTCAAGAGCTGCGCTCTAATTCTGTATTACAGGGAATGGTAAACGTCTTTCATTCTCTTGATGATTCTTCCTTGAGCATCCGCAGTATAAGGCATATAAAAAGGAATCGAAACCGATACAACAGCTTCATTCCAGTGTGTTCTAACGGGCTGGCGGTAAGTTGGGCTGCCGTTCATTTGTAGTTCGCAGACAACTTCATAGACAGCGCTCGTTACTCGAAAAGGTTTAAAAAAAAAAAAAACAGGATAAAGGTTTTTTTTTTTTTTTTTTTTTTGCAAGGAAAAAGGTAATTTTTTGAGTAACGAAAGATATTTTTTTTTATTTGACTGAACGTTTAGAGCCCAGCTCTTAGGCACTTCTTTCCGTGTATTGCGGCGTCGGCGTCGGCATAACCGCACGCGTTACATTATGGGATGTCAGAGAACTAAACACCGGTTCGATTCACCGGATAATTTAGTGGAGAAACGGAATTGGTGTTGAGGTCACGTGACGTAAATTTTCACGTTAACTTGAGCGGGCACACTAAATTTGTGTGTAAGTCACGTGGCACGAAATGGTGACATCATTTTCCCCGCTAAATTTAGCGGGAAAACTGAACTGGTATCGAGGTCGCGTGGCGTCAATTTTCCCGCTAAAGTTGGGGAAACTGAATTTGCGTATTGGTCACTTGACACTAAATTATGACGTCATTTTTCCCGCTAAATTTAGCGGGGAAACTGTGACGTCGTGTGACGTCACAGGCCACGACTTCACGAAATCCTTTTGTACCCTCTTCGTCCTCTGTGATCTACACCAAAAAAAAAATCAACATAAAATAATATATATATATATATATATATACAACACGGGCACTTCACACCATCGTATGTGGTCTCCGAGGAGGATATGAATGAATATGTGCAGATGAATGAACCGTACTTAATCCAATGAATCAAAGAATCAAAGTTTCCACTAACCCGCCGAAAGCCAAAAAGTTACCACTCGTGGAGCAGGTACAAAGCTAGCGGTTGCGATAAGGCGCCCGCGCGATTTTTCCGTCTCTTATCTAGAACCAGCCTTGTACCTGCTCCACGAGTAATAATTTTAGTACAATACTACACTTCTCACGCGCCGAAAGTCTTTCTGAAAATGACTGATTTCATTTATATATATATATATATATATATATATATATATATATATATATATATATATATATATATATATATATATATATATATATATATATATATATATATATATATATATATATATATATATATATACATACAGGGTGTTTTTTTTTTAAGCTTAACATATTTGTTTAAAAAACGCCGTGAAAGTTACACTTATGCCGCTTGAGGAGGTGAGTTATACGGCCAGGTGGACATATTATAAGGGGTTAATCGCAACAGTCAGTCGACTAATGAACTAAAATTTGTTAATTACCTTTTTAATTAATGAAAATAGACATATGGCACCAATTAGAAACTTGCTCAGCGTCACCGAAAACCACTCAATCAGTAATATTCAGAACGACTTTAAGCGCGTGAGAAGCGTAGTAGTGCACTAAAGTTACCACTCGTGGAGCAGGTACAAAGCTAGCGGTTGCGATAAGGCGCCCGCGCGATTTTTCCGTCTCTTATCTAGAACCAGCCTTGTACCTGCTCCACGAGTAATAATTTTAGTACAATACTACGCTTCTCACGCGCCGAAAGTCTTTCTGAAAATGACTGATTTTGTGGTTTTCAATGACGCTGAGCAAGTTTCCAATTGGAACCATATGTCTACTTTCAATAATTAAAAAAGTTAATTAACAAATTTTAATTAATTAGACGACTGATCGTTACGATTGGTCCCCTATTCTATGTCCCCCTGGCCGTATAACTCACCTCCACAAGCGGCATATGTGTAACTTTCACGGCTTTTTTTAAACAAATCTGTTAAGCTTAAGAAAAAACACCCTGTATATATATATTGTTTTCTCTAATTCCTCTTCGATGGTATATCGGAAAATCAAAAAGCACCAGGAGGTGCGCTCTAATTTCGCATTATAGGAACTCGTACAAGTCTATATGCGTGAATTGTTTTCTTATTGGCGGGTGTATTTATAGACTCTCGATGCAAAGAGAATGTTCCGCACAAATACAGATATATACACACATAACCTAAAAAGAAACTTTTTTTAGGTTAAAAATAAAGGATGCATCGCTGAACGCTCATTCTCCGCCCAAATGTAGCGCTAGCGGGCCGACCCTGTACATGGAACATGGTTAAAACTGCGCACAAATAGAAAGGAACAGTGCAGAGGGAAGAGAGAAGAGACAAGTGCCAACTCAGAACTGGATGTATTGTGAGTTTGCGCGTGACTCTTCTCTCTTTCCTCTTCACTGTTCCTTTCTATTTGTGCGCAATTTTAACCCTGTTCAATCATTACCAACTCCCCCAACTAATCACCTTACTACCTGTACATGGATGTCGGCCGCCGATTGCGTGCGCCCTGCACTAAGCACCAAAATGGCGGCCCCCACAAGAAAATCGTGGCTCTGAGTTTCGATAGCCTAAGCGTATAGATGACTGAGATGACTAATTCTAGCATGCATTTCTTTCCTCCCTCTTTGTTCTGGGCCAGACTACATGAACGACTTCTGCAGCGAGGGCCAGAAGCCGCTGCCCGTGCACCTGCCTCTGTTCAGCGAGCAGGCTTCCGTGGTGCTCTTTTCGCACCGGCGCAACAGCACGCCCAAGAGCGGCACCTGCCGGCTGCCCTTCCAGGTCGAGTCGGCGGCCAAGTTCACGCTGTCCTTCCGCTTCTTCGACACCGTCTCCGACTCCTTCATCTGCCACATGTACCTCGAGGTACTCGACGACTCCGACCTTCTCTCCTCACAAATCGGCCAGAAAAAAGGGGCAGGATTCGTCAGCGAAAAACGAAAGAACCCGTGTCCACGAGGACAGACATAAAGAGGGGAAGCGCGCCGTTTCTCTAAAGCTTGTTCCAACAAAAGAAGTGCGGAAGAGTCCCAAGCCCACGAAACATCTGTTCCGCGTAATGTCCAAAGCGGCGAAGCGCATTGGGCATCAGGCCGAGCATGGTTTTTGGTGCGCGCCAATCTTGCAAGAAAACAAATACTCGTGCTGCTCTATTTTCACGACGTCAGCAAAAATTGTTCGTTTGTAGCGGGGTACCAGTGGTAGTGACGTCATATGTATTGAGGGAATTCAAGAACATGGCCTCTACTGAAGCTCTCAATTTGTTCTGTTTTGTTTTGCACGTACTGACAGTTTGAGAAAGGCACAGCGTGGCATTTTACGATCGCGATCTTTGCTTCCCGATTTGGTCTTTGGCGTACTTGTTCGCTAATGGTAAAAGCCCAATTACTATCCCAAAGATTTTTCGTTCTCGCCGCACACCCTGCCCTCTTCAGCCGTCAGGGACTATAAGAGTGAGCGAGTAAGTAAACAACTGCATTTATTAATAAAAAATAGCATTCGCCCCCCCCCCCTCCCCCCCCTTGCCCACCTCCTGATTTCGGGGACGTTTCTGCCCTCCTTCTTTTCAGTTTCCCCTCTAAATTTGGCGAGAAAATTGAAGTCACGTGATCTGACGTCACGAGACCCAAAGACAAATACAGGTTCCCCGCTAAATGTATCGGAAAAATTGACGTCATGCACCAACTCAGTTTCCCCACCAAATTTGGCGCGAAAATAGAATTCCTAAAACAAAGTTTTTACTAAAACTTTTCGTCGACATATTCACAGTGACCTGAGTCATGAGCCTCACGACGAATGCTATCGTAATTCATAGACAACCAACAATAGTGGTTTCTGCAGCCATTTTTTGCATTGCCTAGACCATTACTCGATGTCGTGTGTGGAAATAGGGGAAAGGAATGGGGCAGTTGTCCACGACTCCCGCGTTTAGGTCTATACAACCCATGGGCTATTCTAAAACAGCGCTTGGACCTTGGCATTGGTGTACCAACAGGGGGGGGGGGGGGCGGGGCAAGGGGAAAGCTTGCCCCCCCCCCTTCCCCCCCCAGGTCCGGGGTGAGCCATTCTTTTTAGAGTAGTATACTGCTGAGTCGGTGGTTTGAGCTGTTTGACGAGCGTCGATCTTTCGAAACAGCTCATTTCGTCGTCGGAAACGACGGATCTCCTGTGCGGGAAGGACTACACCGGCACGAAGAGCATGGAGAAGATGTCGTCGACGCTGACTCTCAAGTGGACAGTGTCCCAGAGGGATGTCTTGAAGAGGCTGGGAGGATTCGAGATCGTCATAACCGGATTTGAGCAGCCCGGTGAGTTTTGCCGATGCTCAGATATTTTCGTCCGAGTATGACCGACTGCGTTATAACTCCTTTGCGTTCTATACCGCAACGCGTTGCGCGGAGTTGAAACCAGGTGGCACCAGTTTGCAAATTGCCCTCCAACGCTTGCGGTCTTGAACCAAATCGAAGGATTTGCAGTATTTGCGAGAGCGAATCTACGCACTGCCTATGACAAATAGTAGCTTATACCTTTGTCAGAAATATTTCAAGGTAAGAGTTAAAGAACCATGCATAAGCAATAAGAAAATATGCTCTAACCGGAAGTGGGCCAGGGCCGCCCAATTGGTGGTGCCAGTGTATTATCTCGTTCCAGAGATCTCGTCGTAGGCACTAATATGCGAAAGAAATAACCGAAAATATACGGGCGAGGGGGTGCAAATTTAACATCTCGGAAACCCGAGTCCAGGGACAAAAATGAAGGACGACACACATTATATGTGTCGGCGCTCCCTTTGTCCCAGGTCTCAGATTTCCGAGATATGTCATAAAGCGGTCGTACCCGTGCATAAATTTAAATCCAAACTCACAGCAAAAGCGTTCTTTGCACAACTGAGCATACAGCTCAAACGTGTAAATTTACCTTTACCCAATGGTGGCTAGATAGAATTTCCCCGATTGTTATCGCAGGTTGATATCCGGAGTCCTTTTGAAGCCTGTTACAGTAACATTGCGTACTGATCTTAAACCAAGTTGAACAAGATAGCGTAGGTATAATAAAAAATAATATGAGCAAAGAAAAAAAAGTAAAACCTTCATTTAAGTCTCAAAGTGGCAGTCCAGGTTTCATAAAAAAACGATGTTTTTTTTTTGTTTTTTGTTTTTTGCAAAGTTTGAAAATAGGTAACGCATTTGCGTTTGTGAGACTGACTGCGTTGCAACCATAGTAACCCCGGCGCCATCTTTTAAGTGGCTCTGGAACACTTCTCATCTTACTGATTAGTGATTTAGTGGTTTTCAATGACACTCAGCAAGTTTCTAATTGAAACCATATGTCCGTTTTCACTAAATAAAAGTTCATTAACAACTTTTGCTTACTTAGCCGACTGATCGTTGCGATTAGCCCCCTACACTGTGTCCCCCTGGCCGTATAACTCACCTGTACGACCCGCATAAGTGTAGCTTTCACGGCTTTTTCTAAACAAATCAATAAAGCTAAAAAATGATATATTTGCGTGATTAAATCTAAGCACTATAGAAATGAGAAATAGACGCTTTAGGCTTGTGCGCCTTCGAATAATTTCGAAAAAATCTGGAAAATAAACATTTGGCGGTAAACATCTCTATAAATTGTGATTATCCGAAAAACTCAGAACTTTCGAGTCAAAACGGCAAAATAAAAGGAAAAAAAGTCGGTGTTGTTCATGTAAATTTTAAAAGAACACAAGGTCAGTGGTACCAAAAAAAGCCACAGAAGACCCGAGACTGAGGTAATGACAGGACGACAAGGAAGAGAAGGAGAACAACTCAAACAGAGCTAAACCTTTATTGAGGAAAGAACCCTTTACATAGGGTTGAGAAAAGAAGGAAGGAAAGGAAACCTTCTTAACATCACCTCTCTCCACAAAAGACACGACACCGGACCTCTAACAATGGGGTCAAACCAACAAAATAGCTGACAGCACCAAAGATGACACATCATTATATATATATAAAAAACATACGATGGGAAATTAACAGATTGCGCTGGACCTTTCACTGAGAAATTCAGCTATAAGACTACACACACACACAAAATAATGTTAACAATACCATTAGAGATTTAGAAATTGCTTCCATTCGGCATCGAAAGACAAAGAAGGCTTGTTCACTGCATTCCCATACATCGTTATTGCGATTGACTCTTTCAGAAGGCACGTGTGGTTGTGTTTTTCTGTTACAATTGTGGTTGTCGAGTTCCATAAAGGCACGCAATTCCTACACTGCTGAATATACTTGGACACCACGGAATATGGATCCTTGTTTTTGACACATCGCTCATGTTCGGCAAGTCACAACGCTTCGTTTAAACTATATATAACAAACCACAATCAAAAGGGATCTTGTAGACAATACCTGAAATACATGTAACACACTTTTCCCTGTGTTTTCTTAAACAACCTTTCTGGGCGGAAGCGAACGGAGTTAACCGTTTCAAACTGCTATCTGTGCTAAACGCCATGCGTAAACCAAACTTATCACCAACTGATTTTAAATTGTGTGAAATCTTATAGAAAAACGGTACGACTACAAACTTTTTGTGCTCGGGCATTTTCCTAATTTGTTTGTCTTTTGCAACAATGTACGAAAGCTGCTTGGAAATAAATTCTCGGGGATACTTTGCAACATGTAGCAGGGAAAACACAACTTGAGTCGACGTCATAATGGAGTGCCAACGTGACTTTTGAACCGCGTTGTTAATCATGTTTCGAACCAATCCTGCCTTGAAATGCTTTGATTGGCAACTATCAAAAGGAAGTACTGGTTTATTCTTTTCTTTCCCATACGACCAACACAAACCGGGAACCAATCTGAGCTGGAGGTCTAAATACTGAAGTGCGTTGTTGACTGGCTTTTCTGTAGAAAACTGCAACTCCGGTGCCTCCCTGTGTACGGTATTCTCGATGGAACCAGCAAGTGCTCAGTCACGGACACGTACCAATATGTCATCCACGTATCTTCTAATGAGTACTTAGCTCGGGTGATAATGCTTGATCATCTCAAGCAATTTTAGGTCTAAGCTCCGGAGGTATATTTCTGAAAGGGCCGGGGCGTCATTATCCCAGTCTCGAGTTTTTCGCTAAACTGTTTAATATACACCAGCTTACTTGCGCCCTTGCGTCCTGCCCACTGAAGAGTTTTATTATCTTTTTTGTTGGGGGGGGGGGGGGGGGTACCTTTTAGGTTATCAAGTTTCTTACAGGACAACGGGTCATGGTACCTCTGGGTAACGACAAAAGTCATTGAGGTTTCTAGTTTAGACCCTACTATTTGCGCTCCTTGGGGGAAGGAGGGGTAGAGTTTTTATAACAGGAAAGTATATGAACTTGTATGCTTCAACGAAGCCAATATTTGTTGTGGGATAGTTATTATTGCCAGTGGCAAGTGAGCGAATGCCAATTGCAGTTGCACTAGAATCATTCGCTACTGGTGAGTTCGGAATAAATTAAGGTACGTTTGTAACCGAACATTATTTCTTGTTTTGTTTTTAAATTTGAAACAAAATATTGAAATGTAGTGAACTTATCCTCGTAATCTAAGAGACTTAAGAATCTAACGGAAATAAACTTCAAGAAACCTCCAAATCGTTAGCAAAAAAAAAAAAAAAAAACTGTGTGGAAACAAAAACGTTTTTGGGATTTTTATTAAAAATAAAATCCGAAAACATCAGAAACCTACAAGTTATAACCTCGTCAGAGTTATTCCAAGCTCGGAGCGAAAGAATGCTACGTAGAAATGAAGAAATATACATGTATCGTGGGGAAGACTATGTCATGTACACACGTTGCTCAAAGGACAAAAAAAAAAAAAGAAAGCATCCAATAGAATTACTATGGCACCTGCTTAAAAAAGTATTGAGTTAATATACTTAATTCCTCGAGACTAAAAAGAATTAACCTTTACCTGGTAAAGAAAAAAAAAAAAAAGCCGTTAATTCTCCGATTACTACTTCAGATTTTCAAAGCAACAGTTGTCAGTCGGTTTTGAAAAAAGGTGTCTTTCGTGCTGTCCATTCACTGATTAGAACCACTAAATCATCAGCTGCTGATCTCCTTAATCTACCGGTTTCGGTAAACCGTCCTTCTGTCATAAGCGTTTGGTTTGAGGATTCATTGGCAGGCCTCTCGTACGAACAAAAACCGTCATTATAGAGACGGGAGGGGGAAAAAAGTGACGATTACGAGTCATTTAGTACTTCCAAAAGTAACCAGATATCTGTTGTGATTACTTCACAATAAATGTAATGGGATGATTTTGAAATTACTCCGAAAAGTAATTGATCACAGGTACTTCGAATACTTGTAGTGAGTGCCGTACAAGTTGGGCTGTACCTAATGCAAGTTCGTCTGAGTCTTTTGCAGGGGTTGTGGTGACGTCAGAAAAACGGCGAGCTCTGATTGGCTCCGATCGGAGGATAGTAGTTAGGCCTCAAAGCAAGCTGCCTTGAAGTCTACCCACGATTCTTCCAATCAGAGCCGATCAGAGTTAGGCGTTCTGCTCTGCGAAAAAAGCAGACAAACTTGCGCTCCGGATAGATACGTCGCCACTGTGTTTTCTCGTCGTAGGTGCGGTCACGACGTAAACTGCCTCTGGGAGCCTTAGTCGTTTGGGAATGTTGTACGGTCCATAGAAAGACTCGGGGCATGCATGTTCAAAAGTCATGTTTACGCAGCAATCAATTTTGCAATCGTCTGAAAAGAGGATTTTTCTGAAAACATTCCTGACAATGCTCCCCGGCACTTACGAACACTAAGAAGATATGTATCATATCTTGCACAAAACTGAAGGGCACTTTAGGTGTAATTAACTTCATAAATGATTTTAAGTTGCTCGATCATACTACTACTATAGTACTAATGATGATGATGATGACGGTGGGGGTGGTAGTCGTCTTGTTGTTGTTGATGGTGATGATGATGTTAATAATAGTAATCTTTATTTCCCATTTTGAATGGCGGAGACCGAGAAAGAAAGCCGCAAAAGCGGCTTTACAAGATCTCTGTCCCAGTGGCATTCTACAGCAGCGAATACACAAGATACAGAACTGAAAAAAAAAAAACGCTATTAGAGGAAAAAAATCCTACATCATATCACGCAATTTTTTATAGTTATTTTGTATAAGATAACATCATTCGAGTGAAAAGTGTTAAGGAGTTTGGATTATCTATGCTTTAACATTTCTCTTTCAAAATTTAGGCGACAACTGTCTACATTCCAGTATTTGTGGTTACGAAACTGTTACATTTGGAAACAGGTTGGTTTAAACCAGCCATATTTGTCATGTAGGTATTATTATGGAGCAGTTCATTTTCATATCTTGTATAAAGCCTATATTTATACATGTTATGAAACTTATTATTTTATACACTCTGAACAGGTTTTCAGTATGCGAGTAAAAAGGCACGTTAGCAATATTACGTAAGATTCGTTTTTGAAGTATGTGTATTATCTTAAGTTTTGTTGCTGTGATATAGTACCCCAAACCAGATGACACTAGTAATTTAAATGAGAGAGAAATAGATTTATACAGTAATACTTTGGCTGACCTTGGTGCCCAGTCAGGCGACACGACCGCCTTTTGCACCAAGGGACCATTTCAAGGAGTATTTACCCCTTGAAAAAAAAACTGATTGATTGATAGATTGATTGACTGGCTTCGGAAGTATATAACGATTCCTATATACGAGAGCTACAATTCTTGCTAATTTATTTTTCAAATGTTCAATGTGGTCATTCCAATACGTAGTTCTTGGGATGACCACATTAGTAATAATAATAATAATAATAATATAATAAAAAAAACAAAAAAAAAAAACGGACACGCACACATGCCATATCAAACCGAGACAGTGCGTGTCGTCAGTGTGCGTCCGTTTTTTTATTTTATTACTCCCAGTTTCGCTTTTTTTAGCTAATTCCCCAGTTTTCCTGAGTATTTTTGCTTTTATCGTTAAAGGCTCAGATGCCCTGCGCGTAAGACATTTTACAAATATATTGTTTATTGTTTATTGTTTATGCTTATTTTCAGTGACCCACCAACAGCTTGACGCCTCCTTAGTGGTGCACTTATTCCTTCAGAAATACAACGCTAAACAGGATAAAAGCGAAACGTTAGGAAAGAACAATGAAATTTACGTTTTTCATCAAATGTATTAAGGCTAACATTCGCACAAATACGTTCTAAATGGTTATAAGTCAGTTGTAGGTGTGTTATGGGTGCAGCATGATAAAAGTCGATAGGATCAAACAAAGTATAAAATCTACAAGACTGACGAGGAACGTGCAAATAGATGTGGCTGAGTAGCTCTGGGGAGTCAATTATACAATTTACAATCTTATACAAATATGTCAGTTCACGAATTGTTTTCCTGTTGTGCAACGAGTCTAACTTCATGAGTTCACAAATCTTCTCATAACTATAGAAATAATTCGGTTGAAAATAACGATCAAACAAAACACGAACAAACCTACGTTGAACACTCTCATTTGCCTGCTTTCTTTTTTCTCTCCGTAGATTCCGGCGGTTGTGGATCTGGATTGAGCAAGTGTGCCAATAACCGATGCATCTGGCATGGCTTCAAGTGCGACGGCAAGGACAACTGTGGAGACTTTAGCGACGAACGCCTTTGCTGTGAGTTTGAATTAAAATGTATGCACGGGCGGGAGTCTCTCGAGTTTACCATAGTTACATCTGGTCTAACCTTAGCATACATGGAATGTGGCGAACGTCGCGAGCTTGAACGGGCTTTGGAATAGGCGCTCCCACCGAGCGAGCTTTTTCGAGCAGTCGAGACACGTTCTGAAACAAGGAGCAAGCCCCTTTAAGCCTTGGCTGCAAATTAGGCCGAAGACGCCGCGCAACAATATCGGGTTGAAATGTTGCTTACTTTGCACAAGCTCACAAGGGCTACTGGAGCCCAAGTACATTCGCACGCACCGCCACGAACCAAAAAGTTTTTTTTTTGGTGGTGTAATTATAAAGATAAAATTGGATGCTGTCTTTCAGTCTCTTCGCAAAACTTGATGACGTAGTCGTAGTCATAAAAATTATCTGATTCAAATTTCGCTTATATTTTGAACTCGTGCACAGCGTGACCACTTGATTTGGAATGGTGACTATTAAATGCCTGGAGAAGCATTCAGGCTCCTGTCCAATAGAAGCAGTTACAGGAATGGCCGATCCCTATCGGGGTTCGGCAGAGCCCGCGGAGTTCTACAGGGTGTCACAAAAGAAAATGTACACGGTATTTTTTACCGCAAAAATAAACTAGGCATCCCCGAACGCTCATTCTCCGCCCAAAGGTAGACCTAGAGGTCACAACCAGATGCCAAAGTTTCAGCCCGATCCGATAACTTAATCAAAAGTTATAAGTGATTTTCTGAAAAGTTCAATGGGAAGATGGAGCCCATTTTTGCCTGTTTTCGGTTTCTGGTGCCATAGAGCCCCATGTGTTTGAAAACTCTGTCGGCCGCCATTTTCCCATTGAAATTTTCAGAGAATCACTTATAACTTTTGATTGAGTTATCGGATCGGGCTGAAACTTTGGCATCCGGTTGTGACCTCTAGCTCTTCCTTTGGGCGGAGAATGAGCGTTCGGCGATGCGTAGTTTATTTTTGCGGTAAAAAATACCGTGTACATTTTCTTTTGTGACACCCTGTAGATATCGGTATTACAATGTCTAGAACTCCGGGCCTGTATTGCGGTTTGCCGAGCACGTGACTGCGATGATCACTGGCGCCATATAATCGACGCCAGATCACCTTGATGCTTGTTCAGGCTGTGAGTTGAGGGAGTGAGCGCAGCTCGTTTTTCTCCCATCTTTTATTGTTTTTTTTTTTTTCTGCGAGTGCCTTTGTGCGGACGGAACGAACGCGTGTTTTTCACTTGTCGAGCATTAATTCTAAAGGCTCGTTCACACAACTGGCGTTCGACTGCGTTTGAATTTGTTAAGAATGCTCTCGTCGGAGCTGTTGCTATGGCGACCCTTCGCTTACATAAACAGGTCTCAACATTCTTTTTACTTTTTTTAGGCTTCTTATTGACTTTCCGGGGTTCTACTGAATTCCTTTATAAAAGCACTTTGTTTTGATTATTGAAAAAAAAAAAAAAAACTCTCTGAAGAAAAAATAAGGATTTTTTTTGTAATATTATTTATAAAAGAAAAATCCAAAATAAGTTTTAATGACATTTTTTGTTGGTTATTTTCTAAAAAATTCAAAAGGAAAAAATAATGAATTTTTTGTAGACTTATTTATAAAAAGAAATGAAAAAGATGTAATGACGTTTTTTCAGTTGGTTATTTTATAAAAAAATTCAAAGGGAATAAATAATAAATTTTATTGTAGACGTATTTATAAAAAAAATTAAAAAGAAGTTGAAATAACGTTTCCTTGTAAGTTATTTTCTGAAAAAAGAGAAAAATCTTTTTGACATTGTTTTTATATTATTTCATAAGAATTGAAAAAAAATCTTTTTGTTATTTTATTAAAAACATTAGGGACATTTTTTTACCTGGAAAAGTTTTGAATTTTCTTTTAAATATTGAAGGGGAAAATACATTTTCTACTAAGTTTTCCCTGTTCACATATTTGTAAGAGCTCTAAAAATGATAGTAGGATGCTTTGCACTTCTTTTTCTTCTAATATCGAATACATTTTTTTTAGAAGCAGAGGACAAGGGCAGCTGACCTTTTTCATTCCCTTTCCTGTTTCTATTTAATGAAACATTCTGATAACACGTCCGACGTAACAAAAAATAAAATTAAAGTTACCTCCCACGTAACATAAAAGTTCGCTGTGCTTGTATGAACAGTTCGCAGGTTTTTCCAGTTTTATCTTTGAAGCCAAGGGATGTCATCCAAGTGATTATTGCTACGGAAAGACCTCATTTAGTTCTATAATGTAGGCGATACAATTTCGTGCTCGCTAATACTATTTAGAAGTAAAATGCGAAAATGCGCCGATGTCGTGTTCGCGCTAACAGTGTCGCGATGTGTACCTTTTTTGCTCTTGTATTTTATTTCTCACATTTTTGTATCTACCAATGGAATCCTGCCATCGTAACGTCCTCGTGCAAGGTGAAGAGGCATGATGGCGGACAACCGAAATGCGACCCGAAACCCGAATCCGAAACGCGAATATTCGAGAGAGAGAGAGAGAGAGACAGAGAAGTGTTGAAAAGAAAGAAAGCCTGGAACTAAACGAATATTCGACTTTCCTCGCCCATAACTGTTTGCTGCCTAAACGTAAGAGGTACACCCGCCAGGTGATTGCAGCGGTAGGATTGCCCTAACGACTGCGTCATTCGCACTGGTTACCTATAGCTCAAATTATTCGAGGAAATTTTAACGTGTGTTTTTCTTCCTGCTCACGCAGTTGCTGGAATGCAAGACTTCAGCCTTTATGTCATCGCCCTCTTTCTCGTAACTCTTCTGCTCCTTGCTGTCGGTGTGGTGTTCAAGATCATGTACGACAAGTACGCTGTCGCGGTAAGTGCTCAAAAGAAGCTAACGCTTCAATTTCTTTCGGGGGGCATTAAGCGTCTCGTGACGTTATGAAGTAAAGTGGTGGTGTCACGTGGATATCATGACGTAACGTGGTAACCGTGACGTCAAGTGTCATGTGGAGCGGACGTTCGGTCGCACATAAGGACGGCCGAATTTCTTGGAATGGGGGCTTCTGTTCTTTTTAAAGCGTTTCACGTTTATAAAAAAGAAAACATGAAGTGCCGACACGCACTCTTGTGTGTTCTTTGCTGGTTTGCTTCTCGCGCCACAGCCCCTAGATGCCGAAGCACCGGTCCAGGGTGCCGACGCCCAGGTCCCGGGTTCCATCCAGACGGTACTTCTACCCGGACCCCCTCCGGCCATGGTCGTGAAGAAGACGCCGTCGGGTTCTTACCTCGACGAAGGAGCGCCTCGTCCCAAGCCCAGTATGATGAACTAGGCAATAAAAAAAGAAAAAAAAGAAAATTGCGAACGTTTTTGTGTGGGCAGATACTTGTAGCGACTTCATAATGCTCAAATCCCACCAGATCAACAAACAGAAACTACCAACCTCAACAAGTATAAATCATGAGCCTCATGTATGCGATGGTATCTTCGGCAGGCTTGCAATCTCTCGTGAGGTTGCAAGTCAGCCAAAGATACCCTCGCGTTTGCGGCTTGTCGGTGTCGGTTGCTTCTGTTTGTCGCTCTAATGGGATTCTCCATTGCCTTCCGCGCGCGTTGACTCCACGTTTACGCTCGAAGCTCATATACTACGTCGAAGCATTATCGAGGGTATAGGAACTGCGAACTGGCGGCGCGATGACTGCCGACGACCGTCTTGTAGATGTGCCATCTTCTTTTGTCAAGCGCTCAGCTGGTTTGGATTTTATTTTATAAAAGAACGAAGAAGACTGTTTCGGATCTTTTCCTGGCATTCCTGCGGCCCTGTCCTGACTGAACTGGAATGTAATTAGTCTTATCTCTTTTTTGATTTCACCAATGGTTTGAGAACTCTACTCGCATCCGTGAGCAACTTTCTGCTCAATTTTCGAACTCTTTCTCACCTTTTATGAGCCTTTTGCTGAACCTCCTTCGCTAAGCCTACTAGCCCAGCGCCGCCGGCCCACCGCACCCATGCCGCTGTCGCTTTGTACGAAACCTTCCCCTTTCCCTCGCTAGAGATGGACGAGGACGCGGAGGACTTTGGCCCGTCTAATACCGCAAAACGTTTTCGTTCGTCCGACGACAGTCTTTAAGACGCAGACATGAGTCTCCAAACTTCATGGGCTTCTCTCGTGCCCGTCGCAACTTATTTAGAGGGACTTTAAGAAAGGGCTAGAAAGAGAACCCAGCGCGAGCGCAACTCAAGACATCAGGCCAACCTCTACCCACCACAAGCCGCAAGGAACGTGTAACTCTCGGCACCCACGTAATCAAGATACAGCTGATAGAACAATGTGACGTGTTGGGCCTAGACCCAGAAGAGCAGAAGACCGTTATCAGCCCCTTTGCCGGTAACCTCAAGTTACTCAAATATCAAATACTGAGATTGAGCAAACTCTATATGTTACCATAGCCGTTACTGCGTGCGGCTCCACTCAAACCACGCCTTTCCTCCGTATGGGCGTTTTAGCTTTACGATCAAGACCGCCACCTGTGGTGCGCACACACCAGGTTCTCACGGACGGTATCTCCCGGGGAGCAATCCATGGTTGAAAACCCAACGAACCCTCGGCTGAGCTTCTGGAGGCGCTGCACGCCGACATGGTGAATATCCTGACAGCCCGGCCTATGGGCTTCAGAGGTACAGTCCTCATCCACTTTGCATCTCCGCATCCGCCACGCGAAGTCATGTATTGGAGCCTCCCAAGACGAGTGGAATGCTACGAACGGAGATCTCTCGTGTGCCCGCGCTGTCAACGCCCGGGACATAAAGCCGACAGCTGCCCGATTAACCAGCCGGTCTGCAGGAAACAACACTGAACCGCGTACAGGCGGCGCCTATCCCTAAGAACATGCACCCAGACCTCCACACAGAGCGGAGAGAGGCCAGGATCCGGGCCTTAGAGAAAGTCTACGGCCCAGACCCACAAACATGGTACACAGATGCTGCTCTCCACAGGGAAAGAGCTGGAGCAGCAACCATCGCAGTGACAGACAGAGACGGCACCTGCTACAGCACGGGCTCCATCTCAAACATCGCATCAATCCAGGAGGCGGAGGAGATGGCCATAGCGCTGGCCATCTCACACGCAATCCCACGCAGAGACACCACCGACCTCAAGCATAAAATAATTATCGTCACCGACTCGCAAGCAGCGTGAAGAGCGTTTGCGGGCCACACTCTCTACCCACGGACAGCACACCTCATCAACGCCATAAGAACCGAATGGTCACAAATACCAGTCATCCGGATCATCTGGACCCCTGCACATCTGGGCTCATCCGGCAACGAAAGTGCTCACGCACTAGCCCGAGCGGTAGCGACAAACCGGGCTTTGTCGGATGGGATCAGGATACAGCGGGACCCAGAGCCAAACACACCCGCGGACTCCCAGTCCCTCCGCACTCCAACCGACACACACCTTAACACCTACCACCTGGTAACAGAATACTACCGAACAACCCGCCGGGTCCTGCCCCCTCCGCATCGGGCGCTATCCCGGGCAGAGGCAGCGGACTGGCGACAACTTCAAACGTTTACGTTCCCTAACCTCCACCAGCGACATCGCTGGTTCCCCAACCGGTACCCAGGCACCTGTCCGGGATGTGGCAGCGATCACCCTAACCTCTACCACTCCATCTGGGAATGCCGTCACCCCCTCGGTGAGGGTATCACCCCTATTCCTTCCCCCACCTTTTCCTTCTGGGAGGCGGCCCTTTCCGGCACAGAGCTCGATGACCAGCAGCGACTGTTTGAGCGAGCCCGCCGTATCTGGGCGGCGAACGGAGCCCTGGACTAAGGGCATCGACCAGAGACCGCAAGGTCCTTTCACTTTATCAATTAATAAAGTTTACGATGATGATGATGACACGAGCTACCCCCGGAAGCATGTCCGAATGGCGCGGCCAAGTACTGCGGTCATTGTAGACAGAATGGACACCTTGGTTACCAATCCCTCTTGTCCCGCTCGAGCTTGAAAACCTTTGACACGCCAAATATATATATATATATATATATATATATATATATATATATATATATATATATATATATATATATTTGTTTTTTTCGTGCAAAGCGTTGAAATGGCATATCAGGACATTACAAACAAATTTTTTCACTATAGAGTTGCGTAGTTTTTTTTTTATATATAAAACTAGAAATACGAGGCCCAATTCAAAGTTCCCGCCATTGCACTTAAATAAACGCCGATTGATTGATTGATTTACAAATCGAAAACCTAACCAAAGTCTAAACAATATATACTGAGATATACTTGAGAAAACATGCCGAGGACAGTTCTAGGGAAAGCCATTGCCTGGAAACAAAGAAAGCAGTTCACTGTTGGTCGCAATATTTATAAGAAAACAATCACTCGCATTTATTTTCGCTCCGAATTATATATACGACGCAGCTTTAGTGTGCCGATTTAGGTTTAGAAGGAAATTGGGATCATCATATTTAGAGCAGGCACCGACTGTAAAGTTTAGAATCGTAATCCGAATATTCCCAAACGCTCGGAACATACATTAGCGTGTGAGCATCGACTGCATCGCAATCACATGCGTGTACATCTGCGTATAGGAATGTTCCTCTCGGTCAGGGGTTGCGAAAGCGCCAGTAAATTTCGCGCCCATGTAATGCTAGCGTAGAGCATAAAGAGCCACTGTAGCGTTCGATCGCGCACAGAGTCGTTTACAAGCGTGTGGGAGCATCTGTTCCCGTGCGCTAATAAAATGCCCGAAAAAAAAAAAAAAAAGCTTCATACAAAAAAAATGAAAAATGCAGCCCGCGTTGTCATAGCAAGACGGTAAGAGTGCTTGCCTTTTAGCGTTTTGATTCCTCCCTCTATTCCGAAAACATTTATCGACCAGTAAAATTTTACCAACTTAGCGTTCGCATGCAACGTGAAAGAGCGCAGTAATGCGCAACCGAAACGAGCCCAATACATATTCGATTTTGCTCGCCAGAGACGTTGCCCAAACTTAAAAGCTCCAGCCCCATATATCCTGACAATGTTATCAGTGCCCATTCCTTGTAGAGAGCGCGTAGATCTCTTTCTCGTATATACTGACTCCTTGAACTTAGAGACTTTTTCATCTCAGTAGTTGTGATCTCTCAGTAGTTCTGGCAATATGAAGGGTTCGCACTGAACTTGCAGTGCATTATCATATTTTTGGATCTACGACGGAACCATTGTCTCTCGGATGAAACCATCGGTACGGAAACCCACCAATTTTGCAGTAGCTTGATAATTTATTATGAGCACACTGGACGGCGCTTTTCTTTTTGCTATGAATATGCTTTGACATTTTCCGATGCTCCAAGAGCACCGCGCACACCTTCGACGGTCAGCCGTGCGAGGAGGCAACATCCTCTGGAAACGCAACCTGTGGAGTTGCAACAGGTTCATGGTCACCGGGGAGGTAGGGAAGGCAGGGATGGAGCCAGGGCTGGCATTCGCCAAAGCTGCGTCCTCGGGGATGTGCGTGACCTCCTGGAGAAGCGACAGCAAGAGGTTGGTCATCAAGCCCTGGGTTGCCACGGCATTTCCACCAATGAAGCCGTCCGAGGACTTTAAGGATAGTAGAGCTTCGAGGCAAGGGAGGCAGCGAGTAAAATAGGATATGATGGAAGATTGCGGCATACGAGTGGTGGCGTTGGGCGAAGAAACTATCCGTATATGCCTACCTGACTGGAGTGCAAACCAGGTGGAAGAGTCCGCTTTACCAACTCAAGAAAAAATAGACTTCCTTTGCTGAGCCTGTGGAGGCATCAACGAAAGAAAAGTGGGAGTCTGAGGCCCGGAAGAGGGTGCTCGAAAACGAGACCGTCTAGTTGGTTAAAGCTGCCCAAGAAAAGTAAACTCTGCTGGTCTACTAAGAAAAAAAAAAAAAAAAGACCGCATCTCCACGTGGTGAATGATGTTGATTGGGGCGAAGCCCTGGTGGTGCTTGTCTGCGTAGACGCTGAGCCGCAGCATGCCGAGCATTTCGTTAATTTTTATCCATGTCAGAAAGAGAATGTGTGATATGGAACGTGGTTATACACGCATTTGAGCATTTGACCGCAGCGCCCTCTCGTCTATAAACGTTGAGCCAATGCATGCAAAGTTTAACGCGATTATATACTCAATTGACCGCAGCGCCCTCTCCTGTATAGACGTTGAGCGGCTACGTGCAACGTTTCATCCATGACATCCCCAGCTCTTGAGTTACTACCACACCTCAGAGCCCCCTACTCGTCCCCGCAGTCGTGGCCGAGTGGTTAAGGCGATGGACTAGAAATCCAAT